TTCGAGTCCTACCAAATGCATATTTCCTTTTTTCTTTTTTTTTCCCGTTTTTGTGTTGTTGTTTTCTATAAATATATAGCTAAATAACTGTTTAACAAATAGATTCCATGTTGCCGTGCGTCTGTTCAGTAATAGATCACAGATGACGTCAAAATGTCGTAAAAACAAAGAAGTGGCACACGAGCCGCAGGCGAGTGTGTCACTGTTGTTTTTACCACATTATTTCTTTGACAACTGTTGTGAAGATTTCTTGTAGTTTAGGCATTGTCAAGTTGTCAATAGCTTTTTTGGTCTCCGTTTCTCCGTTTTTCTTCTTTGTAAATAGCTCCTGCTAAACTTTTTCCGAAGCTTTCACTTGCCTCAATCAGAAATAATCTCACAAACATTTTCAAAGCCGCGTGCCATGTTGAACAAAACAAAGAAAACAAGTTTCCCGTGACGTCATCCATGTATCTGTACTCTAATAGATCATGTGCAACGACCAATCACAGCCTGCGTAGCATTCACATCATTGTATAATACTTAATAAAGTGCAACAAACAGCAAGAAAATTATTGTGTTTCCAGAGAAAATATCGTACACCGTATTTTAAATATATGGATAAACAATCTGAATTTCTATTATTTCCTACAATTTACTATGGGAAAACCAAATTATAACCACTTGATCATTTTCTAAACAACGTTCCCACGAGTTCTTTCTATAGACTGATAGTAATTATTCTAGTACTTTCCAACATGTAAATAGGACATTCAATGTCTTTTCGATTCTTTTAAGTCTCACTGCCTAACTAATACCAGTATCAACAGAATGTGCCGCAGCTTTACTATCTTTTAGATACCCTAGTTCCGTAGTTGATAAAACGTTGTTCTTTCAACAGGAGAATATAAAAACGATTGGTACGCCACTTGGGAATTGCAAAGCCCTTATATTCCCTTGAGGAATACGGGTTAATGCTGACGGCAGGTAACAACTTGTTAACTAAAGTCTATTTATAGGATAGATCTTATGCATGAGGTATAAAATAGAGCTAGATCTTTGCAAGGAAGCTTTGCCCTTTTAAACTGCACAAGAAAATACAACCGTATTGAAGCCGTCTTAACTATATCATTGATGTGTTCATTCCATTATAAGTTACTAGTTATATTGTTACACCAAGAAGTGTCGCACTTTGGACAACTTCTAACTCTTGCCTATCTACTAAGATGGGCTGAAACTCCGACTTGTTTCAAGAAAAGGAGATTCTTAGTTGCTTGCACTTGTCACTATTTATCTTTACCCTGCTGTCAGATTACCATTGAGCTACGCGATCAGCTAGCTGCTGTACGTTGCTATCTCGCTACATTTAGAAACAACTTCTGAAGTTTTCGTATCATCTACACATTTCCATAGCTGGGCTGGGCATTTAAGGTATCGCTAAGATTTACATCATTCATTAGGACAAGGAAATGCCATGGCCCCAGTTTTGTTCCCTGGGGTACTGAAGAACCACCGTCCTTAAAGAACATAAACTACAAGCATACCCCTAGCATGGACGTATTGCTATATTGAACGTATTTCAGCCGCTTTGCTCAACGAATTATCAACTGAAGTATTACTAATTAACTTCAAAAATAATTAATATTAGGAAGAAACTGAAAAAAAAAATACTCACAGAGAATAATGGCTTTATTTCAATGTTAGATCTAATAATTTTGAGACAAAGAAACAGAGTGCGGAGAATAAAAGGGAAAAATTTGTACATGAAGAAAGATATCAGTTGAATTCCCCAACAGGCCAAAGACAGACACAACTATGACGCAATCTGTGCTTTGGCACTGACAGAGAGAACTTTATTGTCTTTTGTTCTTTCATATAACAATCAAAATGAAAAAAACAATGAAAAATTTCGTTATTTGTCCTCATTTTTCGTAACTTTATTTGTTATTATTAAATATCTTAAAATCGTGGACTTGTGATAGATTTAATGCAAACTCAAGAGGATCTTTTTCAGGCGTGTTTTATCGGGAATGATAAAATTCTCAGTTATTGCAGCTAACTGAACTAATCGAATTTGGCTAGCTGAAAATGAAGTTCAATTTTCGATATATTTTGAGAATTACATGTATTAAAATAGATACCTGACTATTGGTGGGAAATGATATGGCGGGGAAATATGATTAAGCTAAAAAGCAGATGATGCGTATCCTTAGCTCAGAGTGTCGTCATTTAGCGAAAGCCTCGATCCATTCCAATTGCTCAGCATCATGGAATAATAATATAAAATTTTAAGGATTTTGCTTTTTGTGAACGGTTTGAAGGCAGGTAAGAAACCTACAGTAAGATAGCTTCTTAAATATTTAAAAGGTAGGATCATATGAAGTTGGCAGAAGAAAAAAAATCAAGTCTGATATAAAGTCTGCGTACAGATTTTAGTATTAAAGGGAGTGAAAAACTAGCAATCCTACTGACACCCTTTGCAGCTAAAGACAGGAGAACTAAACCGTGTGTCTGGCGGTATTAACAGACAAAATGAGAAATGAAAAGAATAAAAAGATGTCTTAGCTTGAAATTATGGAATAAAAGTTTATTAATCATTTTAATTGCGGTAAATTGACTGTAGGTTTCCTGGCACCACTCTAACTATCGGTTCCAATTCGATAGCAAGTTTCGCTAATTTTTTTTTCCTTGTTAATTAAAAGTAAAATTTGCTATGATTTTGCGTTTCAATCGTATTGAGTATATTACTGGTATAAACCAATATATACTATGACCAAGTGTATTTATTTCACTTACTAATTAGCAGTTATTGGATGAGTCTGAGTATGATCCAGAGAATAGTGTAGATCAACGAAAAAGTTATCGCGTTATGACAAATAAGGCCCCGTCCACACGTATCCGATGAAAACGATCACCGAAACGTTAACGTTCTTTTTTTTTGTCAAAAACGCTCTCCAGAGCGCGTGTGGATGGATGAAAACGGAGGTTTTTGAAAACGATTACGTCCAGTGCACTCGATCGTTACAAATTAAGCCGAGTGGCTGTGGGGACAAGAATGGTCACGAAATTATATATCGTTTTCGTCTGGTCGGACCAAAAGCGATTCAGAACTGGCTCAACTTTTGGGCGGGGATTTTTTTTAAAAGAGGAAAAAATCTCCAAATCTCTGTTTTCCTAAATGTGGACTGGGTCTTAGCCGGGAAAATATTTTGAATGAAATGATGATATTATTATTATGACAATAATGAGCATTATCCTTGTAGCAACTATGACGACACTCCAAAGGATTATGTTTTAGCTCCTTGGCCCGGCACCGATCGGGTGATTTCGGGTCAGAGCGCAGGGAACGATGTAGGTTATGCATTTCTGAGTTGACTCAGTCTGAGTTTAAGTGATGATGTTGGTGAGCAACTAATTCAGAAAGGATCAAGTTTCGCACACAGATACCTCAGTATGGACATTCGACTAATCCTGCCAGAGTTGCAAACCAAAAACCTACAAACATTTTGAGGAAAAGTCCACTGTCCGTAAGTTTGCCATTTAACTACCGCTACTATCGCTCTGTACAATTTATTCGATTCCTTAAAAGTAATCCGGCCGCCATTCCATTCAATAGAAAGGTGAAAAAGTGGCAAAACTACTAAATATAAAAAAAGAAAGGCAGAGGGGAAAAAGGGAGCGAGAAAGAAAAATTGAAACAATTAGCAACAATAAACAAAAAAATAGTCCAAAGAAGAGGAATAGGGGAAAAATGCATTTTTTTTTTCGCTCACTCGCTGGCCGTCTTTAAAGTATAGTTTTTTAAAAACTGATTTGGGATCTTAGATAAATTTAATTAACAATTCTAAACTTAAAAATTGTCTCCCGAAAATACTTTTGAAATTTAGTCGTCCAAAAACAGCCTTTTACCCTTGAGAAATGCCCCAGAAACTGGGAACGAGTAGGGGATGAAAGAACTGGCTGCTGACGTCATGTGACGTCAGTTGATTTGCTCAGCCTTTGCTTCCGATTCTGGTTGGTGTTTTGTGGAATTAAAGCAAAGTATTTGACTGTAAGAGAGGTATAGCTAAGCAAATCGTATTCAACGTCATCTGTTTACTAGTTTAATTTTTCTCAGGAGCTCGTAAAGTCATGGGCTCCTGTTATCCTACATTCTCGCAAATCATTCTACATACTTGTGAATTTGGCCGGCGATAGGTCGAGATAGGGAAGACAATTTTGGAGGGAAATTTGCGTGTTCATTGAAGAAGACTTGATGATACAACAATTTTTCTTAGGATATCAAGTAATTACGTAAATTATTTACTTGGTTTGAAATAATTACAGACTCCGTTATCTTTGCAATTAATTGGCAAAGCTAGTGGACAGTAGATGAACTTAAAAATAACCGTTTACACGATCAAGTTTTCCTTTTTTCTTTGCATAGAAAAGTCGTTCCCTTTTTACTGGCAAAAATTGAGTTTTTTCTTGTTAATAGAAATTTGCTTTCATTTGCAAATGGCGCTTTATCTAGCTGTTGTCTTGCTCGGTATCCTTAGTTCGAAAAACATGTTTTATTTTTTGAGGTGACCCTTGGTCGTAGTCGGTCAATAACCCGCGCAGCACGTGTGCAAGAAAAATGTATATTCGTCAGTAGCTTATTTGTGCGATTGTTATAACGGGATCAAATTAATTAATGAAAAACAGTATTAAGGCACGACAAATTAGAAACCTGCATCCACTTAATCTAATTTCAGTGATAACATTTAGTTGCGTTTTTACCCAATTAGCGTTGTATTTGGGTGTTCAACTCAAATGGAACAAAAATATTAGATTTCTTTTTCATATAGAAGCACAGTTGGTTATCAATAAATTAAACCTTTTTAAAAAACATATTTTTTATTTGAGGTAACCGATCGTCAAAAACAATCTCAACCAATTGAAAAACTGAAGGGATACCCGTATCATACCCAAAACAAAACAATATCCAACAATATTATAACTGTGGAACGCGTATGTTTTCAATACAAAAAGAGAAAGGTATACAATGACACAAGTCATTTTAATGATATTTGCTTCTTTGCTTTTTGTACAAAATGTATCTGGCGAGGGAATTGTGCTAGAAGAAGATCCGTACATCGAGGAAGGTACATGTGTATTACAGTCAATCTCAATTGGCATTATAACTTTGTACTGATATTTGTCGAATGCTTACTAAAATTAAAGTGGTAGTGATCCTAAGTTTCAAGCCAAACTAGTTACGCACTTCTTAAGTACAGAATGATTGTTCAATTTTGTGAATAAACAAAATCAGTAATTTTTTGGTTAAACTTATCGGCTCGGTCGTTTTGTGAATGTTAGCTATTGTCTTTCCTAACCTCAGCTGTGGCAAATACTATTTTTAGTTAAGATTCCTCGAACCGACTAAAGTATAGTTAATTACAATACTTTCGTTAGATTTTCAAGTAGCGCGGCCTTTAAACCTTAATGTATTTGGTGGTAATGCACCTTCGGAAAAAAAAAGCGGCGCGAAAATCTTTTCGCGGGAAGCGACTTCAAGTCCAAGTTTATATATTGCCGCCACTTCCTGAACAAAATCCCAGCGTTTTAATTTCGACATCAATTAAGTGATATAAAACTGGAGAGAATAACAATACATATTGATATACTTAGAAGTCCTCTGCGGGAGCTGGGAGTTCGGGACTAGCTTAATGAGTCATCTATTTATTAGTTAAAATACTAGTCCTGTGGATATACCAACAGGCCACCGCAAGAATTTTTAGACTGATTTTAAGACCTTTTTAGTGCGTAATACGTTCGAGTAAAGGCTTTTTTAAAGTTTTGTTAAACATTTATAAATGAATATTTGCGGAGAAGTCACAAGTACTACTGATTTTGTTACTTCGAATCCGTAGGATTTTGATACAAACTAACAACGCAAAGACGAGTCGAGGTGTGCCTCGTTTTCCATGCATCCGCTTTGCCTTTGTCGACTTAATTTTATATCATCCCCTCCTTAGTATAGAATAAAAAATATAAACACGTATTTTTACTTCCTTTAGACGCAGCTTCGCTTGAAGATAATTGTAAGTACCGTACTGTAAGCCGATGTAAATTGTACTTTTGTCTGACATTTTCTCACTTTAAGACTGTTTTATCTCGATTAATGACGAAAATTGTGACTGCTTAGTTTTTTCAGATCCAAACTGAAAAATGTGTGCTTTGAAATACTAGCCTCCTTCCTACGTTATATAACGAAGATATTTCTATATTTTCGACAGAACTCACACTTAATGAGAGTAGAGCCTATGAGTTGAATAAATGGCTATTTGTGTCAGCATCCCGCCATTGTTTGCAACCAGTAGTTAATAGGGATTGGAAGTAAAATACCCGTTAATTAGCTTGCAAGATACGACTGACTTAAGTTCCTTTAAAACGGGCAACGAAAAGATGGAACTTGTTTTGAAATATTGCTGCAAAACGAGTTGAATAAGCGCTGTTGTGCATTTTACAACCCATGTTCAAACAAATCAGGTTGTTGCAGGTTGCTAAGAGTTGTCGCATAAAGTAGAGGGTACCTTCTACTTATCGCAACAAAAATCTGTACTCGTTGCGCGTTTTACCGGCCCGAAGCAAACTTGTTTTGCAGCGAATGGCGTAAATTTAACTCCGTGATTCCCGCGTATTTATTCTAATCAGAGGTCAGTATTTTCGCAACTTACAATGACCTGATTTTTTGCAGGAAAGGTTTGAACGTGGGCTGTAAAACGCGCAACATCGCTTTTCAACTCGTTTTAAAGCCGAATGTTTCCAAATATATTGTTACGTTTTAGTTGCCCTTATCACCGAAGCTTTATAGAAATGATCAATAGTGGTTCATATGATAGTTTCAGGAGATGAGGTATCCTGTCCAGAACTTCCAGCCTGCCGCTACTTTGTGAAATTTTGTTGGAGCACAAAACACCATTGGTACGATTTTGTCATTGAGAACTGCCAGAAGACCTGTCGGCTATGCTGAAATAATTTTATAAGGTAAGTGTAAGACCCAAGTGTAAGAAGTTTTCCACAATCAGATTGGTTTTTTCGTTCTTGCGTAAGTTTATTTCATGTCATTCTTTTATTTGTTTTAGGTGTTTTTAGGTCTTTGTTTCATTTTTCGCCTCCTTGTTAATTGCGTCTCTTTGCCTTTCATCTTCATTAGTGCCGTTTTTAGTTTCTTTAGTTTCCTTTTCTACGTATTCAACCGTATTTTACATCACATTTCTGCAGTACAATTTTCAGTTTTGCTTTGGTGGGCAGTTCGCTTCTTTGTCTCGCCTTTTGCACAGTCCGTTAACACAACCTCAGTTTTCTTTGGCCGTAACAATGTAAGTGTGTTTCACAGTCCTCGCTTTGTCGCCGTTTCTGTTGTTTCTTTATGTCAAATTTTCCGTTTTTAATTTGTCGCAACTTGCCTTTTTACCGTTTTTAGTTTTCAAACCACGCACAGCCACGTTCTTCGGGTCACGTATCACGCATGTCTCTTAGCAAATAAATCTTCATTTGTTTAGTGGATTTGATTTTGTAGTGTTGGCATTTCTGGCCACGAGAGTTCTGCTATCACCCTACAAGTTATTCTCGTATGTTTGATCAGTATATCCATAACTCCGATTATTATGTATTGTACTCGTTAACTGTCTTCTCATTGGCTAAGAGCTTACAGCTAATTTTGGAAATCAGCGCAACCTACCGAATAGTTATCTGCTAGCAGATAATTGACTAATCTGTAGGTTACGCGCGCAATGCATGATTTCCACTAACAATAGCAATTCCGGTTCCTTGCGACGGTGTTTTTGTCATTATTTTCTTCAAAACAATGTATAATGAAACAGTTATTAGACGGTTTTTGTGATATCCTAAATAATCAAGGTCTTGGCAAATGTTATCAGCCTCGGCCTTCGGCTCGGCTGATATCGATGTCGTTTTAAACTTAACTGTACTTTTCTTTTCAGTTTCTTACGAGATGATAAAATGCTGCCATTCTTATGTAAAAAATTATATTCTGTCAGGAAGGACGCATAACCAGCAATTAGAGAACTCTCAAGATAGTGTTGTCGTGTCATGATCTTTTACTGGAACTCACAACGTGAAAAGGGAGAGATTGTAATTATAGATAATAATTTTCATGGACCAGATGCCGACAGACTGCCGTGTTTTAGGGTCCTCAATTAATAGTTTGAAAATAAAAGTAACAAATAGCTAGCAAATAACAAAATTTGTTATTTTCTAAAATCAAAGTGATCATAGAAGGGAGTCTTTCATGTAAAATTGACCACAGAATCAAAGCCTATAATGTCCTACATCGCCAAGTAAGAAGCCACCTGAAATGAAGCCAATATGGAAATGCGTCAGCCACAAACTTAGTATTTGAAGTGAGCCCCTCTCCAATGAATTTGTTGAATCCAACTGCTGATGACAAAGAGAAGAGGAGGCGGCTGAATCGCCCCAGTAAGAGAATCCGGATTAAGGAATCCCGAAAATTTTTGCTAGTTGTGGAAACCAGAATGGGAGTATCTTTTCTTGTGGAAACTGGGATCCTGGGCTTTGCAATCCGGGAAACAGCTGAAGGAATCCGGAATCCTACTAACGATTGGAATCCTGGAACCCTGGATGAACGGCGTAGCCATCCAGCAAGACTGTCTTCAGTCAGCAAATCCTAGAGACCTAAAAACGATATTTTTTTTTGCCTTTCAATGACGTTTAGTGTTCCTTTTTGATATCCTATACTTCGAATGCGCTCATAGTCATGGTGGAGATTCTATTTTCGCGGGAAATTAAAAGTGCCCTAAAATGTGTCTAAAAATAAACCTGATCGGTAAAAACGCCGTGAACAGACATACGCCTAGTATGAGAGTTGCTCGCTCCGGGTTATAAGCTCTTGCTGTATTGGATTTTCTTACGCGATGAGGCGAGCTAAAATTCAGGCTAGCGAAATACGCTGTTCATAAAAACTTGTTATAAGTAAAATAAAAACAACCTTTTCTTCACGGTTAACTGACTTTTATTTCACAATATAACTATATAATGAAACTTGACTTTTAAATTGTGTGCGTTGAAACTCTTTTGTTATGACTCCTCAGACACGAACGGGTTTCACCTGCAAATGACATTAGCGACAAATCAGTTTTATTTCATTCAGAACAAAGTTCAGTGGTAGCATAGCTAGTATAGGAACGGGAGAAGGAGATTCAAGAATGGATGGACGTTCTGGTCAGAAATAGATCAAGTTTTTTTTTCAGACAAGTTGTTCTGTTTAAGCTCTTTTGTTCGGTCTGGCTTTCCATGGATTTTTCTGCCATTTTTTACTCCCGTGGATGATCAAACGATCTAATATTTTTAACAGACTTGTTCTCGAAGGAGAGCTGAAATTTTTGAAAGGAAATTATTCTTCTCGGCTAACGTGTAGTCTAAACAAAATAGGAGCTATCCTCACTCTCCTCTCCTCAAGATAGTCACCCATTCAAAAATTTACAAAGAAATTTATGGATTTACGCACACTTGTCAGGACGTCTATTTGGATGAATTTCTTGGTAAATATTGGAGATTTCTCGTTTATTGGTAGCCCGATAAACGCCAGACTAAAGGATTCTGTGAAGCTCGGTGTGCTCTTTATGGCTCAATGGGCGTTCTGTTGATAATTAGGGAGCTTAAGCAGCGACGTTCAAGGCGACGCACGTCAACCGGAAGTGAGCCTTTTTCTCTTTTAATAAGCCTTGACGCTACTGTATTTGTATTGCCAATTGGCTTAATTCTTGTAGAGACAATCTGCCCAAAAATGTGTTCAAAATCACGGCTCAAGTGTGCAAAAAGTCCATTTCCGGTTGACGTGCGTCGCTCAAAAACGTCACTGCTTAAGCTCCCTATTAACAATAATATACGGACGCGTACCCAGTCTCCTCGTTTTGAAATCAGGCAATGGCAAATTGGGTTTCCTTCAATTTCAGATCAATTTCAATAAAATGTTTAAAATGGGAATATTGCTGGTGTAACAAGTTCAACAAACTTGATCAAAGCAAGAAATATTCTTCGAAATTTTTAATGGTGGTCTTGTCACTCCCAATAAGTCTAACTTTAAAATTTCTCGCCAGAATCTGCGGTAGACAAATGAACACACGGAGTATTTGTATGGAGGTTTATAATGTACTGGAGCTGCTCATGACAATATTGTAGAGTGTGGTATTCGTTCTTGAACAAACAGATAGAGCCAATAAGATATTCTGCCCAATAAAAATGAAAATTATTTCTACTCAGCTGGTGTGCTGTAATTCAAAAAAGTATGTGACCAACCAACCTCATTAGCACATTCCACAAGTTTTGGGGCATCGCTGTCTTACAAAAGGCGAGCGCTGGCCTTGACATTGATGTTTATTGCGCCTGCAAAAATTCGTCAAAACCTCCCTGCAACCTGTAAAATTCAAAGAAAAAATTGATATAAGATGCAACGATGCCGGTTTACTATTTGGGGAGTACGAATTTCAGACTAAATTTTAACAAAGATAGGAAAAAACAACCAGGTCTCGAGCTCCAGCAGATTGGGAGTATGTTTTTGGACATTCGACACCTGAGCAGTCTAGTTTTACCGAATTAAAACAAGTTATATAGGGGAAACCCTAGTAAAAAATGTTCTTTTAGAAACCTGATAAAAGGAAGCGTTATGAACTCATAAACGGAAAGTAAATCCAAATTTCTCCATGGTCAAAGGAGGTGTGGACCGGATTGGGTTGATTCCATGCGCCTTGTCTCAATGAGGGTGGATTTCCACTGCCGCGTATAAATAATATAGATTGTATTGAATGAATATGCGAATGTACGAAGTGTCGTGCGTAAACGTGAATGATATATGTATCTAGCAGAAATAGGTAAAATAATGTTTCAATAAAAAACTGGGTTGTTATCAGATATATTTAATAACACTACGAAGGAATCAGGGTCATGTTCCTAAATGCAGAACTAACCTACGGGTGGATTTCCACTGTCGCATAAATTTTACGTGCGTACGCACGTAAAGTTTACTGGCGTAAATAAAATAGAAGCAATGCATGAAAGGGTGCACTCCAACGTAAAAGTTGATTAATTCAACTTTTACTTTCGTTTACTTACGTTCAGCTTACCATACATTTTACAGCTTACCATACATTTTATTTACACGTGAACGCATATCAAATTTACGCGACACTGGAAATCAACCCTTGGGATTAATTCCCACCGCCGCGTCATTTTTTCCGTGCGAACGCACAGACAACTGATTTACATGCGTAATGGAAATAGAGGCAATGTTCAAAAGGCCACGCGTAAAAGTAAAAGTTGAGCGAGGTCCAACCAACCTATTCTATTAACTCGCGTAAAATTTATGGCGTACGTACGCAAAAATTACTCGACATTGGAAACCCACCTTAAGACCTTTTTTGTTTCAATACCAAAGTTCTTTGTTTTTTAATTCACTTCCTAGCCCAGACATTCAAAGGTCAGTTAGTGTATCAACTTTTAAGAACAAACTGAAGAAACACCTTCTTATTTGTTCCCTTCCCTTCATCTCCTCCCCCTTTTTTTTTCTTTTCTTGGACATCTTCGCTTTTTTGTACCGTAATTTTTTTTGTCTTTTTTTTTTCTTCTCTTTTTTGAATACGCTATTCCTTCTTATTAATGTTACTCTGGCTTCGCTGTTTAGTTGTAATATCAGTTAAGTTTATCTTTTGTTATTTAGAAGGGAAAGTCCACGTTGTATTAAAGCCTCATGCTTTCTTTGGGCTTTTTTGCCATATGTTAACGAATTTCTGTAATTTCTGTCATTAAAAAAAAAAGTTGAGCAAGATTCAACTTTTTACGTTAACGTGCGACCTTGATACCCGCACTTTTTTGTGCGCGTACGTTTAAAAAATTACTCTACAGTGGAAATCCACCCTACGTGTCCCAAATTTTGTTTCGGGAGGAAGCGGGGTACGAGGGCATAACGATATCTAAGGGGTACTCTTTTCTTTCTATGTGGTAGCTGT